AATCGCAGTTCGATAGGTTCCACGCTCTGCAGCCCTTTGCTGGATCAAGTCCATCCACTCTAGACCTTTTCTATACTCCCATACAACCCACCATTACTGAGATACTCTTTATACTTCTTATTGGATATCTCACTTACTTCTGGTACACTTACTGTACTGACTTGACCACTGAGTGGATTTTAGAGTGCCGTTATCCGACCGTTACTTTCCTAGTACTCGCTGTTAACCAGTGTGCTGGCCTCTGGGTTTAGAAGTGGGTTGAATTCCTTATGTGCGAGTGCGACTCCTAGAGATTCGCCTCCATTTCCCACTCAGCTCCGAATCCTTCTATGGTAGTGTTGGAGATAGAATCAATCTACTGCAGTTTTCCCACATGTCTATCTTCCTAAGAATCTGACAATCATCGTAGATAGGTTGTACTCGTGGAGATATTGGACCCTTATGGTCAAGGGAATTCACGATTACTGAATCAACTAAAAGTGTATCAGCCTTCCCGTTCTTCTTGTGGAGCCATCTTATTGTTCTTAATTGTCGATGGGTCGCAATGCTTGTCTGGCAATTCTGCAAGTACCGATGATAATGCCCTCCATTAGAACAAAACTAGTAGTGATTAATGTGTTTTTACTATTGGAGAACAACAAACAACTTGTTGCCTCGCTAAGGACAAGTTTCTCAAATGCTGTACAGTATTGTTTTTTCAACTGTGTTTACAGAAGACATGTGAGAATTTATTTACAGAGACGGATGAAGCATAAGGACGGTCATGAATGTAAAGCTGTGAAGAAATGCCGAATGTTGCACTATAAATCCTTCCCAAAACATCGCACCAAGTCGTGAATCCCCAATCAACTGAAGAGATGTATTATAGGAGCAGTCATACCTGTCGGTGAGTGGGCTTTAATGCATGGTCTTCTCTTGATGTCTATTTTCGCTTCTATTGATGATTAGCAAAAATGAGAAAAACACGATACAAGCCTATTTCAAGCTTTTTTCAAGATGAAGAAAAATAACTCATCAATGGTTTATACTTTTCTATAAAATGAGGACCAGTAACAGGGAAATGCCGTCAGCCCCAAGGAAAAGTTTAGCCTGCACAAAGGTACGACTGTAAGAGCAAACTCAGATTATGTTGGTCTAACATTCAGTCGTCCGCCATACCGCCATGTATTGTAGAGAGTCGAAGTGCACTCAGGTCAAAGGAGTAAGAAGCTTAGTATAATACACATCTGTGTAGGTTCGAAAAATTCATGACCCATAACCCATCACCCACGTGCTCGAAGAGTAGCTCGACATCACTCTTTTTATCTGCTTGCTCATTGCTGTGGAGCTCAAGGGTTGGAACTGAATAGGATGAGGTATTTACAGTAATCGTTTTCTCCATTGACAGTATCTCATTTCTCTGAGAATTTTCCAGTCAATTTTTCAGTAATTGTAGCATCGGGCCTCACTCCATTATTTATCGGATATCATCAATCCATCAGGCTGTCGTACTTTATGAAAAATCATAAAGCCCTTATAGTTCACCGAATCGTTCTTGGGGACGCGCCATGCTAGCGACTCCCACTCAAATTCATGGTGCCTCGTGAAAGCCATGATCAGCTTTCCTATACCGTGAATGTATTCTCCCTGCGATCCTAGAGCATCAGTCTACCATGTGTAGGGGATGAAAACCCTGACTAGCTTAGATCGTGCCTGTTCTCTAAGCTACTACCCACACTAGGTGAGTAGGTTGTCAATGACTGACTACTGTCTCGGGGGCGGATTTCATTCGTGTCATACCAGAGATAGGATTTAGACTTTATTCGAGTGCACTCAAAGAGAATTAAGCGTTTACACATATCAAATGTACGAATACATACAAATACATTTGAAATGAGAACTAATTATGTACATGTGTTTTTGCAAATAATGGATTAGTCATTCTTTGAGAATAATCTTTCATTCGTCCTTCTCTTTGTAGAATCGGCGCATCTTGACGAAATTCTGAAATTCAAAAAAAGTTACAATGTTCCATGTGATGAGGATACTTCTGGATATCCTCCATCATTTTCTTGTCGATCAAGATGAAAAACACTTTTGAAAGGTGTCCATGACACTTTCGACACCTCCAGATCCCTCATAAAAAAAAGGATTCAGGGTTCAGATAGGATCTCTTCAAGCCCTTCCTTCTAGATAAGAGACAGAAAACAACCATGGCGGGCTACCTTGATGAAAGTATTAGTGGGAGCATTATATCTTGGGGGAAGGGGGAGTGGCACAAAAATAACACCCTCTTTAGAAGGCAAACTGACTCACCTGTGGTGTTGTCGTGAAACGGAACGACGTATTCGCTGGAATCAGAATAAGATCTCCGTACTCGCACAAGATACGTACCCAGTCTCCATTCTGAAAAATATTACCGTATTTATTATGAATGGAAATTAGGTGAGAACTTTGTTGGGAGACTTGATTCCGGCAATTTCCTTTCCTCACACTTAGTGTGTGCCGGTGAGGTCGTTAATTGAACCTTCCCTTTTACCCAAAACATGTCATACTGGTTGGCTTTAAGTGTAAAGCTGTTCTCAGATCTTCTTGGTCGAATGTCCAGTTATCTAGCATAGCTTAGGACATCGATGAAAGCTTTACCTCTGCTCTACTACTGGGGGAAGTAGAAGTAAGAGTGATGTAAAGTAAGAGTAAAGAAAGTTAACTGGTCCATTAAAATATTGTCTGGGCAAGCTTAGTCAAGCCGTTCGAAGCTACTCGTTTCAATCTTTAATCTCCCTTTATCATTCCTGAAACTGAAAGGAATGGTTTATGTTTTCGATTGATCCCATTTCCGCTATCTTCGCACTTTTTCGATCAGAGAACAGCGCCGATAAGTGCTTTGGTACTAGATTTTTGATCAATGAGCTTTGATTTCCACCCAACACGCCATAAGCGCCAAGGTCATTCCGATCTCAGTCTTCAGTAAACCCCTTGATCTCAATGTCAGTTGAAAGCTTAAGAATGTCTGGCCATAGTACAACACCTGGCTGCTAAATCGGCATTGATAAGCTGCTAATTTCCGTTGACTGCATTCTGTAAACTTCTCGAAGAATTGTTCATAAGATGAAAAGGGTGGGTATCTGATAAATTGTGTACTGCAAGAGTGAGGGAAGGTGGCTGAGCGGTGGGAAAACCTCCAAGAGTACTACTGATCGCTGTCTTAGAGTAATGTAGAGTTAGAGCGCAAGCACGTCGGAGCCCTCAATGAAGCACTGCGTCTATTTATAGAAGTGAGATGGAAAGTGCTAAAAAATTAATGAAAGGATAGCACATGCAGACGATGTCACTCCAGAATACGCCATGTATTCATCTGAGATTTTGGATCGATTCAGAAATGCAGTGGCATTTAGCTTTCTGATTGCTGCGTTGCAGTACTCAGGTGCCTTTTAACAAATCCCACTCCCCCATGCGGAGTTCAACCCTCGACTATGGATGTGGTAGCGGGACTACTGACACTAAACCATCTGCGCTGGACAAATATCACTTGGCTGAATTCGAAAATGCCAAAGATGATAAAGGAGGGTGAGTGTTGGGCGAGGGAAAGGAGAGAGAGAAGTTTTAGTGAGATGTTTAGATATCGAGAAGACAACTTCCCCTTACAGATGGTGGTTTATTAGCTTTTAGCTTCGGTTGACCTTGGAAGTTGTCTGCCAACGATGAAATCGTCTAAGATCGACAGCGTTCTCGATTTCTCTCTCACCATCGCCGTTCTGCTACATTTTAATAATCGCTTGGGTTTTTCAGTTGATTGAATTCTTCGCATCCATAAATTTTATGGTACTTGTTTTTAAGAAGGTGTTTGTGAACCATCTCGAAATAAGGCACATCCCATTCATGATGAGCTCAGAACCAGTTTCGACAAATTGGGAGAATCAAGAAGAAAACGGAAAAAGATCCTGTACTTTTTTAAAGGTGTGGTCCGTTCGGAGCCATACATTCACATAAACAAAAGTTATAGATTACCTTGTCTTCCACATCGTAATATGCCGAACCATCGATGATCATTCTTGCCTGATCTTCGGGCTGATTCGATTCTTCGAACAGTTCGTCGATCTGAGCAGTTACGATTAATCGACCTTGTGATACACCCCCACTTCCCTGTCAGTCAGTTAAGAAACTAATGACTCGAAGGGGTCATCAGGATTTTAGAATAGATATTTTTGATGGGCGAATTGGTTATTCTGTGGTAGTCCCTATCAGCTGAAAGCGAGCGATGATCACTGGTTAGTTGTCTCACCGCGTAGCATGCCGTTCGGAACTACCTCCTGTCACCGCAAAGGTATGAAGAATCATTCATTTTATCGTACAATTCGATCCGAAGCCAGTGTGAGCATAACGATGCCACTCTCCACTACGCCTTTTACCAACCGGTGTCAGTGGAATGCGCTACGTTTCTGCAAGTTATCAGAAGACGTTATGAAGGAGTGTCTGGTCCGACAATAAACAGCTCTAGGCAAGGGTTTTCTACGTCAATCATCCAATGGATCCACATGATTGGGCTTCATTATGTATATTCAACATACCTTTCTGAGCAGATTTCTTCAAGGTCTTCAAAGCTTTTACCTTATCTCTGAAGTTCGCGGTTGTTTCGGCGTCAAGGGTGAAAATGTCCTCCTTGGTGAAGCTTCTCTCCATTTTCATGATCATAAGTCGTTTTGAAAGAGCAACCTGATCCAGTGTGTCCAGCTAAATTAGTACATTCTACTCTATGGCACCAGAAACTAGATGAAAGGGATCGGGAAGTACTCTATTGGCTGATACCTTCCAGTAGAGGGTTCCGGTCCTTCGTGACAACTCGTCCGGTGTAATCATTTTCGGTGGGAACACATGATGTGGTAGCCTCGGATCACCACATGGATACGGTTCCATTTGCCATATTTGTACCATTTTTTCTGGAACGAATATTACTGGACGTGGATGAGGACGAGTTTCCACGGCATAATGGCAAAATTTAGCCGAAGAAGCTACTTTGGATAGATGTGTAGAAAGGGCTGCAAACTTCGATCAACCAAAACATTAAACAGTGAATGAGCATCACAACAACGGACTGGCTTTGTACTTTAATAAGGTCATTAAGGAAACATCAGAGATAAGTTTATTGCCAAAGAAAAGAAAAGTGTGACCAATCGTGATCGAAGAGATAGATTCGATGAGTTATGTAGTTGACGGGAATTTTTGAAGAAGACGTTGAAAGAAATACGATCTTAAAATGCTTGATTAAGCGATTTTTGGTAACTCCATGGATTTGGCATCAACTTTGAGTAGATGCCGTTATGAAAGCGTATTCTCCCTAGTAATACTCCCTGATGGGAGTGGACTTCTTATTTCCCTGACTATAAGTGCGGGAAGGCATCGCTTACCACCGGCACTCTACCGTTCTCGAGATTTAGACAGCTCTCAGTACATATGTAGAGGAGAACGGTCGCAGCACCTCTCAAGGTGGAAGTCGACACCAGTCATAGGATATAGAAGGTACCGTATCAGCTTAGGTTCAGGTCTCTCTACGCGACAAGAGTCAGAGGAGATGTAGGGTCCCGTATTAGCTTGGATCCATGTCTCTCTACGCGACAGCAGTCAGAGAGGATGCAAGGTGCTGTATCAGCTTCGGTTAAGGTCTACCAGTTCAGTACCAGTCAAGAAGAGAGTGCAAAGAAAACTTCGAGAAATTCCTAGAGCGTGACGGTGATTTGGTCGGGGGTCTCACTGATCAAGGAGGAAGTGTAAACGTTTGATCGGAGTCGTACTCCCATCTTCGGTTTACAGCAGGCCACGACAAGATACTTTACCTGCTGGTGCCCGTGGAGGTGTGGCACTGGGGTGGCTGGCTACGATGCGGGGCGCGCTGTAAATGAGAACCAATGGCAGTTTTCTTGCACAGCAATGTCACACAGCAAAACATCTTTCAGTGTACTGCATTGTCCTCATTTACTGTAAAGTATGACTTCAGTACTGATAACATCAAAGACAAGAGTACGCCGATCCAGATCATTTTCTTTCCTGGATTGTTCTCGTGAGATTCAGGTGTTTCAGTGGAATGCCGACCTCCCAAAAACTTTTCGATTTTTACGGCACTGGTATAGAGACGAAGATTTTTTGCTAACCGATTTTTTACGTTACCTTGCAGTATTATCACCGGTAGTAAAGTTGTTTGGCTAGTCGGTTCAAAGAACGACAACGAAAAGTTACAGATGGAGAGTTCATAGCTGATTTATTACTGACATAGGCTATAGTTCACAAACTTTTTAACGTTTGATTCGTTCCTACACGATGACAAATAAGCGTTTTTCTCCTGGGCACGATTTGGGAACTAATTTGGATCTTACCCTATGTACTGGTGGGGGAAGAATGCCAAGTAGGAAAAAGCCATCATGTTGGCGAGAGCAACCACAGTCCCGGTCCTATGGGCGATAAAGAACCTGAGAAGCAAAACGTGGGGGTTGAAGTTCAAGTCAACTCTTTGCGTCTTGCCCCAAGCCACTATTTATGTGAAGCTGTGCCTGATCTCACGTTTGATGCAGCCTGAAGCGGAAAGGGTCTCTGGACTCAGGGTAAAGAGACGTACTGTCTGCAAGCTGACCAATGAGATTAGCTCAGAATGGTGAGGGTCGTTTTAGGGTGGACATGGTTGCGGTTCTGTCACTTCACACTCCAGTTCCTTACACTTCTCTTGACCGCTCAGGCCAGAACTAGTGATAGTCGAAAAGAAGCTCTCAAATAAACAGTACTATAGATGACTGATGCCCCTGCCAATGAAAATTTCAACAGTAAATGTCCCTTGATTGAATCGAGAGAGATAAGCTGTATGCCGTTAAAGCAGAGCAAATATAGAGCGAACAAAGCTTCTTGAAAATTCTAGTGCCACAAGCCACCAGGTACAGAAGTTTAGTGGTTGCCGAAACAAACAGTACAACAGGAATGGATCCCGATGCAACCTTACGAGTACAGCATAGCCAGGACTGCCTCCCGGGCGCTTACCAGGGCTAGCTAAAAGAAGAATGGGTGCGCTTGACTCTAAAAGAGACAAGGTAGTGAAAGCAGCAGCGCCAGGAGCAGCTGTTGTTTGAACCACATAAATGAGACGCATCTGGGACTTAAATACCCTCGAAAATCGTTTTTCACGGAAATGTCATCTTTCGCATGAGGTTCACAAATGAAAGTACATAATTGGAATCAATCTAACTTAAACCAGGACTGGTTCTGATATCTGGTAAACAACAGGAAATGCATTCTCTTGTAACGAACTAGCCGTGATACGTGCCAAAATGCAATCATTTCAGGAAAGAGTCTTACAGTATACATGATGACAATATTTTGGCATCAATTAGTATCGTCACGTAAGGGACCAGCAATTGGTCCCAACACCGGAGGAGAAGAACGATTTCCCCACATCAGAAACTGCCTGGTGTTCGATTTCTATGAAATCCCTCTGATCTTAGTCTGAGCACCGTAGGTGACCGAAGAAGGGAAGGGCTGGGGGATTTTTCGGTTGCGAAAACGTTGGGTTCTAGGGCTCAGGAAGAAGCCACCGAGTTGATTTCAAGAAGTCACAGGCAATGGAACGATGGCAAAGTGATCAGACGGAATGTGCCAGACTTCGACAAGACTTGATGGCCATGTCGAGATTGACGCTCGGGGACTGAATATGAGAAGTTGTAAGAGCGCTGACAAAAGTCGTCAACTACTTATCAACAATCATGCAACAATTCACTCAATAGAAAATGCTGTCTCACATCGATTTATCGAAAACACCTTATGAAGCTTTCTCAGTCGGTATCCTCGAGAGGAAAGGATTTGAGTTACTGAGCGGCGCATACTTTGAAAAGTAACGAATAAAGTTCTGGAGGCATTTTGAACCGAGCCTCGAACTGGAAAACGACATGTTAGCTACCTTATTTTGAAGACAATTCAAAATGAATTTTTCCCTTCAAAGGCAACAGCTGATTGTTGAAATGAGTCCACTAAACGAGGCCTTTGAAATTTGGCTCCGCTAGGTATCCCTAGGAAGGTTCCCATAGAGCTCACGGCCAAGAGGGACTACTTATCATGGAGGCACTCTCATTCCTTTTTACATTCGATGCTCAAATATCCAGGATAACCCTGCTATTGCTGGGCGTCTTTCCTTCTTCCAGTCCATCCGATATAACAATGAGACGGTTTTTTGATAACTACCCATTGTTTCTGTGTGAAGCGGTTTTCTCGATTGCGGTGAGATGCCCTTGGAAACCAGTCACAGGCGCCATTGGACGGGACGAGCTTTGCGATGGCAATGTTAACGGTGAGACACAGTGGGTTAAGGGAAGTCTCCGTCACTTCCTGGGTAAGGCATCAGCACCATTTTGTTCACAACGCTTCTTACTAACAAGCAGCCCAAAGCCCATACCTGTAAAACAAGAGGCTGTTTGCTGTGCTTTCTCATCAAATTCACCTTCCTATATGGGCGTGTTCGTAGAGAAGCTTGCACTGGGATATTGCGATATGCCTAACCAGGGTAGAGTGTGGCATCATTCGAGTTTTTATGAAGTTTCAGGAGAGTTGAGCGATAGGCCCCAGCACAGCTTTTCATTCAAAATCGTTTAGGCTTTCGGTACATAGATGCCTTATACAATAGCAAGGGGGACCAGTTGATCTTTCCCGTGACACACTTGATGGGTCGCCTGGCACTAGCCCTTTTTCCCTGGTTGTTTCAAAGTATTCTAGAACTTCAAATACTAAATCAAAGAATCTTTTGATTCGATAGACTATTAGCAAAACACAAAATAACTCCCAAGACGTGAGATCAGGTGTAACTAATAAACTTTTTTGCTCTTCCAGTACAAAAATTCCCTGCTAATATGCCCTTCAAAAACCCATTGGATCAGATTTCACCTATCGTCGGGAAACCGGTTATTGCCGCAAGTGATCCTTCCCAGATAAAAACTTTTACTTCCATTGCGTACAACATTCCACAGTGTGGCTAAATGTCTGAATGAATTACGAATCCAATAAGAATAAGAACTTCGGGATCGAAAAGAAAAGAGAATGATAACGACCATGAAAAAGGAGCTCAGAGTTATGAAATTACTTGACTGGGTCGGGAATGGGAGTTGTCATGGTGAACACACTTAATAGAAATATCGTTTTTGTGGCTGGCCAAAATTGGAAATTGAGTCAACCTCCTCAATCTAATTGAATTGCCAGAAATTGATCGGGAAGAAAGAGAATGATCTCGATTACAATCAGTTACACCTCATGCCACTGGCTGAGCGGGTAGCTACTTACAAATGATACTAGTAAGGTCCCCCTCTGCTAGGACTCGATGTAGGGGAGTGAGAACTGGGAGAAGCCCGACCTGAACCTTCTTTTAGCAGAGTTTGGCATATTAGCGATGTGAACCAACAGAAGAGTGAAGAGATCTACTGAAGCTGCGTGATCGATAAGGGGCTGCTTTACTGACCAAGTTTGCGTAGATTTTTCTGTGTATTGACAAATTTTCTGGTTCCATTAAAGAAGATGAGGTCAGTGTTTCCTAGAGCGTTTATCCGTCTTAACACCAGTTCACGGCCTTTTTGCGCCGGCATGGAATGCGACTAATAAATCCTGCTAGAGCCTAATCACTGCTGCAATCCTTGGGAAACTAGATGTCCCAAAAGGGTCAGATAAGGGTGAAAGTTTAAGTTCGCAGGCGAATTGGTAGGTAAAATGAACAAAAATAATGTGCATGAGAAGAGAAAGGGTTGGGATGGTTAACGACTGGTTGGTGATTTATATAGCCACACAAGTACCTGCAATCACTTTCCCTTTGGCCCTGTCAAAGAACATGTTCCCGTCGGTCTAGTGGCACCTTGTTAACCTTAACAACAAACAATTCAGTAACGGTAAACAAAGACATTTGTGCAGTAACGGTGCGG